TTGCACTTTGATCGTCGAGAATATCCACTAGAAGTTTGCTCTTTTTGCTGCAGTAACTTTGGATTCAAAGAGACAGAATAATAATGTAATAAAATAACAATAAGAGATTACAGTTTTCTAACTCACGCAGTTCTGCAATATGGTTTCTAAATTTGAGAGAATTAACTTGTACAATTATATTTACTTTGTGCAAGCGTAAAAAAAAACAGGAATTATTCAGCCATTCATTGGAAGCCACAGACCTTTAAACTACATTCAGAATAAACATGTAAACATTGTTGACATTACTTGTTTAATTTACTACTGTGTCATCATTAAAGGGCCATCAGATGAGGAGCTGTTCCAAAGAGAGGGGGATGACCTCTGTTTGGAGAGAGGGGGGAGAAGGAGGAGGGAGGAGGAAGGACAACGATGGGAGGATAGACTGCAAGAGAACTGGGAGAACTGTCTGGTAAGTCAGGAAGCTGTGTGTGTGTGTGTGTGTGTGTGTGTGTGTGTGTGTGTGTGTGTGTGTGTGTGTGTGTGTGTGTGTGTGTGTGTGTGTGTGTGTGTGTGTGTGTGTGTGCGTGCGTGCGTGCGTGCGTGCGTGCGTGCGTGCGTGCGTGCGTGCGTGCGTGCGCTTGCCACAAAGATGGATAGGAAGTTATGTTTTACCAAGGGTTAAGACAATCCATGGGAAAAACAAAACAAATGTTATCAAGTTACATTTTAACTATCTAGTAACCCATTGGCTATCATTCTCCTCTTGGTGCAGGTAACAATGCTTCTTTGTTCAGATGTAGCGAACACATGTCCAGGCCTAGACTTCCTTTTCATTTCGCTGGTCAGTAGTTTAATGCCCGATTAGCAACTTGAGATCCAATGTTGGATATGTGATGAGAGACAACGTCTACAACCGGATTGTTTTACAAGAACACCGTTTACTAGATAATCAGAAACAGATACCAGGAAGCATCTGATACCAAATATCATATGTTTGCGGAACCTGTTGAAAGACATAACAATCTGTTAATCAGGAATATAGAATGAGTGAAAATGTGGCGTTATATACTATTGGAGGTAAAACGTAATATATAATTAAAATCATGACAGCAATGAATGAATGTTTGGCGCTTGCTAGAGTTGTGACAGAGGCAGATGAAAACGTTCTCTACCTGTCTCTCCCCTCAGGAGTTAAATCTGTCCTACCAGGGCTTGGGTGACCCGTTCCAAAAAGAGAATTTCCTCCGGATCCTCCGCCGGTTGATCCGTGTGGAGAAACTACAACTGGTTGACAACTCCCTCACCAACCTGAGTTCTGTACGTCTGCCAAGGTAGAAACTACACTACCCAAAGTGCACCAGTTTAGCGCTTCTCAATATAACTGCTGTAGTCTGATTGGAAAGCTGTTTATTTTGGACAAGGACACTTACATATATCTGTAACATTAGTCTCCATGTTCTTCTGTCTTTGCCACTTGACATAACTAAGTTGTCATTTTTTTATTTGTGCAGTTCCCCATTTCCCGTAAATGTAGTGATTGGAAGACTCTTTCAATATATACACTATGGCTGACTTTCAGATTAATAATTTAATATTTCTGATATTTTGCCAATTAAGTAAGGCAAGGCAAGTTTATTTATATAGAACTTTTCTACACAAGGCAATTCAAAGTGTTTTACAAAAATGAAAGACATTAAAGGTAGGGTAGGTAAGACTTCCTGTCTTTTAGGACTTTTAGGACAGTTAAAGGTGGGGTATGTAATTTTGGAGAAACCAGCTCGAGTGCGCTAGAATTTGAAAATACACAACCAGAAAAAATGTGCCCCTTCCTTCAAACTTCCTTACAGAGCCCCTCCTCCAACACACATGAACGCGCACATGACCAATGAGGGCACGAGATAAGTTTGTGAACGAGAGGGAAGTGAATTACCTACCCCACCTTTAAGAGCATAAAACACATTAGAAACATTAAAAAGCAAAGATAATAAAATAGTTACAGTGCAGTTTAAGATATGAATAGTTCAATTAAAAGCAGCGGCTAAAAGAAAAGTCTTCAGTCTGGAGAGTGAGAGTTGCAGCGAACCTGCAGGTTTCTGAGAGTTGTTCCAGATATTTGGCAATATCCCGAACCACATTCTCCCATTCCTCTACCCCTAGNTTCTGACATACTCCTAATTACAGATACCAACGATAAATACGATTAAAGGTCGACCGATTTCTAGGGACAGATACGGTAACGATCGTTACTATTTTGCTTCAATTTCGACCTATATTTTAGGGGTTTGTCCGCTTTTGGATGGTCAAAGTGGGTGACAGAGACGGGGAGGAGGTACGGAGCCAAGGAGGCCAAACGCATAGAGGCCATTTATCAATGACCAGCATTTCCTTGCCCACCAACTAAAACGATGGACATAAAGAGCACAACTTATACTCTTATATATGACGCCGACAGAAAAGAGAGGTACGAACATGACAACTAAACCGATACGCGACTCAACTTGACAGTCTAAAACGTATTTGCCCAACTACCGACTGCGAAGGTCGAGTCGAAGTTTCAACTTGTAACTATTCGAACAATATAGGCACTTTATAAGACTAATTTGAGACCTTTAGAAGCGAAGCGAAGGTGGCTTACGTCAAGCCGCTTTTCGAATACCGTCTAAATCACTGCAACAGATGAGGGTACACTTCAGTAATACCCGTCATAATCGAACAACTCTTACGACAACTATACTAAAAAAAAATAAATTATAGCGAACACTAGCAATACCGCCCAGGCATACAGGAGATCACCAGAAGGAGACACAAGATGTGATACAGAGACCAAGATTAAAAGAAGCACGAAAGAGAACGAAGTGAAGGTACACTAAAAGTGCCTAATGCAATACTAGTATTGACACGAATGATTAAGTATTGTTTATAAGGAGACAAATGAACATCCGTATACACCACACCACGTAAAAGTAACATAAACACGTAAGAGGAAGTATAAGGACACCTACAACTTCATTACAGACAGTAAATTTGACACCCAAAAAATTTTAAAGGGAACAATAACAGAGAGAGACACAAGTTACAATACAAAGGAGAAAAGCTTAAAAAGATTGACCCTAGTCATAACCTTTCAATGTGTAACTCGATCAAAACACCAGTTACACACATATACTACTAAATACACGCAAAACCAGCACGTCCACGACGACCACTAGACAGGAGGGAGGACCCCTCTACGAAACCTCTACTCACAAAAGCTCCTCCGAGCTGCTATTTAGGCCCAACATCGGGCGATCGTACATACCAAGCAAGACTCCTCTCCATCACTCTCCACCACCACCCTACTCCTCTTCTCTCCTTTTCCCTGCTCTACCCCCGCGGTCGCGCTTAGTGTAGTCCCGGCCGTGTGCTGGCGGGGCCCTGGTGCACGACGACCACCTCTCCTCCTCAAACACCCTACCAATCCCTGTTTGCCAGTTTAATGTAGTCCTTATAGACACAACCCGCACAATTAGGAACAATCGTATAAAAATATAACAGGCGTGGAGAAGCCCCAAGACTGCCGCGGCAGAGCCAAACAAAGGTTATGTTAAGTCGGCCCTAGCAATCAACTTCAGTCTACGTCGAAATAAGTAAACTGGTGGTGACCGTCATATGTCACTCCTGGTAAAGAAGCGAAGTACCAATTGATTTCCTCAAGATATAAAAGGTTTCCTTGTTTTTCCTTGTGCCAAGTTTTCTGAAAAGGCCAAAGCGGCTAGAGTAGTTGTAGTCGACACAGGATAAGTTGGAGTGCCCTCCGATATACCGTATATCGGTACGTGCAGACTGTGACTGCGTGCTATTGGTTTATTACTTCACTTCGGAATGTTAACTATGTTAACAAATTTGCGTATCATACTGAGTGCGTTTTTAGCGCGCATCTACCACTCAATCAGGATTAAATATACACATAATAGTCCTATGATAGTCTGTTAATTATTGAGTTACTTTTTACCGACGCATTGTCGCTCACCAAGCGGTTGCAAAAGAACTGGTTCCTGAGTGAAGTTGAGGTGGCTGATAGTTTTTTTTGTAGCAAAAAGATCCTTGTCTAATCTTTAGACGCGACTTAGCTACCACACTGTTGTTCACCGTATCGTACACACTACTTCAACAACGCGACCTCGATATAGTACGTTACCTTTACACTTTTGGCATTAGGAAGCAGGTAACGCCTCTATAAGGGCGCTCCTCACATCGATCTTTTGAATTTACACTAAATACTACAAGCTTTACACTTCCACATGGCATTCATATGAGTGCTGGTGATTCTCCGCCGAGTGCCATGGTCGGTCACCCAGCCGCCTCGTGTGAACCTCTTCGTGACGAGCATAGTCTTTCGATATTGTCTCAGACATGAACGTAAAAACGTCCTGGTGCCACCAAAGATATAAAAAAAGCGAGGCTCGTAAATTCACCATACAAAAATCAACTACTTCCCGCTGACACTTTACCTCTGCCACATCATAGACTATATGCATCACATTAATGCACACAATGTCATACTCCTTTCTGCACATATTCTGAGTGGAGAAGAACCGGGGTTTTTTGCTTTGTATGTCGGGGGCGGGAGATTCATGTGATTGGTTGTTGGTCGCGTTGCTCGCAAAAATCCCCAAGCTCTCAGACATGCCCAGCTCCAAGGTTTTCAAGATTTTTTCAAAGCTGCTGTTTGGACGTACTGGAAGAACCATGACTACCTCCAGCATAACTACCCACAATGCACTGGTTCTCTAGGTGTGCTGAAAACAGGGGAAAAGCATTGACGTTTTCTTAGTAGATATTTATATTATAAAGTATTCTAATTCATTCAGGTTTTTTTTTAACTGTGTCCTCTTTAGGTATTTTGATCTACTTTTGATATTGGTATATATTTACTGTTTTTGTTGGTCTTTTTTTCTATTTGGAATCACAGTAGAGGCACAAAATACTAATATGACCCTGAACATGAGTACAATATGTCCTCTTTAATTAGCTGGTATTCAGAAGCTTGAACGGATGACTGTTGACAGATGAGTGGAAGATGGATGAGGGGAGAATGGATGTGTGGACGGACGGCTGAATGGACGCATGACATGTGATACACTGCTGTGAATGTTAACAGTGGAGGGGTAGAAAGGACAGATGATGAAGAGGAAACGTGTGTTGAGAGATGAGGAAGAGCGGGATGGAAAGACAGTCACCTGATGTGGAGGCACGTCGTGATCCACTTCCTGATTCTCCTCCTCCTCCTCCTCATGTAACATCGCAGTGTCTGTTAAAATACACACACACACACATATATATATCACACACATATCACACTAAACCAGCTGCTTCTGAGAACTGTCCTGATTACAGATAAATCATTAAATGGACTAATGGATAAGTCAGTTGACAGGAAATTAATCGCCAACTATTAAAAAATATATATATAAAAAATGTACAGTATATAAAACCTTTGATGAAGAAATGGCAGAACATTTTGTTTTTATTTTCTGAAATATTGAGATGTTCAGCTTTCCCTCAACTTAACACCATGTTGGAATGAATAGCTTTGAGTTTTAGAAAACAAAACAACAATTTAATCAGCTTGGACTTTTTTCACTATTTCTTATATTTTATAGACCAAACAACTCATCAACTCATCTTCAATGCAGTTGGCAGATGCAGCCCTCCGGCTTATACAGTGATAAAATATAAATAAGGTAAATATTTTATGCTCTATTGCTTTATATTGCACTGACAAACTCAGTGTATAAATGTTTTTTTATAATGGTAATCTTCCTCTCTCACCTTCTTCATCATCAGTGTGCTGCATGTCTTCTCCTTGAACGATATCATTGTCCATATTCTCGTACTCGTTCCTCTTCCTACATCAAAACAGAGAGAAGAGATTTTCACGTTTTGTTCTACGACATGAAATACGTCAGTAAATTCCCCACTGGTGAATCTCCGAAGCTTCTAGGTGTCATAAAAAAGTGACTTGATGAACTACTAAATGTCATCAGACTTAACATTAGCCGCATTTAGCTTAGCGGCTTTGATGCGCAGCCATGTGACCGTGATGTAGTTCCTTTAGCCTGATGTTCGCTTTTTACTTCTGGCGATTGCATTTACAGTGCTGTTATTATGTGAAGATGGTCCTGTCGATTAATGCTGTGCAGCCATGTGGCCGTGATGTAGTTCCTTTACAGGCTTTTTACTTGCATTTGATTGATTTACGCTTCAAAAATCATAAAGTGGTGTTGATACAGTATGTGGAGATTATCCTGAAACGTGTGTTTGCCACAGTTTCTATTCTGCAATATTCCAGAATCCAATGGATCTCAAGAAGCTAACTTCCTGAGGTCCATAATCCGTCATCAGTGCTCCACTCTTCAGAATCAGAATCAGAAACAGCTTTATTACCAGGTTGGTTGACACGTACGGGGAATTTGACCTAATGGCATGGTGCATACATAAAAGTAAAGCAAAAAATATATATAAAAAATAATAAAAAAATACAACATTTAAGATTTACATTGAAATGGAATAAAACGGAATAACATATGGAATAGACTCCTGCTCTGCTGTGACCTCTGACCTGTGTTGCTCGTCCCTCAGCAGCTGCTCCCTCCGGTCGGCCTCCCTGTGGTGCAGCTGCTCTCTCTCCTGCTCCTGCTTCAGCCTCTGCTCTCTGTCCTGCAGCACCTTGTCCCTCTGAAGCTGAAGGGCCCCCTGATGCAGCTGGATCTGCCTGCGCTCCTTGGCCCGCTGAGCCTCCAGGCGCTGCTGCTCCTGCTGCTGCTCGTAGGCCGACTTCACGCGCTCCACCTGGGCGTGGGCCTCCTGATGCAGCTCCGCCTGGGGACCCTGTGAGAAGACAGATAAAAAAAGAGCCAACCATTTATGTTTATTGTTAGCATGTCAGCTTATTTAGTTTAAATTTATAGTGCAATATTATTTTTGAACAATTGGTGGCGGGGATTAGCAGCACAGGATGTATAAATGGTTTCATAGGTGACGCGGAAAGGGACAGGAAGAACGAGAGCAAACTAATCCAACCAGCTGCTAGATGCTCACAGCTACTACAACTCACTTATGTATCAACCTTGGTTTTGAACAAACTCTTCATCTCTACAGTAGATGCTCACAGCTACTACAACTCACTTATGTATCAACCTTGGTTTTGAACAAACTCTTCATCAAAAAATACCAAATCAACGTCCGGAAATTCATCTGTTTTTATCTGCGTAAAGATCACTCTCACCCCTCACCTGTGTAATTATGGCAACCTGGAATACAGGACATTGGACCTCATTACACATAGAGTTGCTGGTGATTTGGGACATATGGTGTACATATAGATTTGGTGTGATTGATGTCAAACTGACCGGCTGCCGTCCGTCTCGCTGCAGGGCGTTCTCATCCGGCTGCTCCTCCTNTACTACTAGTACATACATTATACTAGTATACGTCACACACACACACACACACACACACACACACACACACACACACACACACACACACACACACACACACACACACACACACACACACACACTTAAATGAGTCCCAATGAGCCGTGAAACTGTCTCTGATACCGGCTGCTTACATTTCTCTGCATCACTGCGAGGGAAAAGAAACCTAGTGCTCCAGTTCATGGACTGCTGCAAAGTAAATCAGGTGTAGCGACAATTGTTATGTATGAAAGTATGGATTTTTTCTTTTATCCAAAGCACTTTTCAGAGGGGGATTTACTGTAAGTCCTGCCAGTGTGAGTGCTCTGCAAGCAGCCGAGGATTAATCGGGATGTTTTGTGTGTGTGACCAGCTGGGTGATTACCCGGTCACTCAGAGGCCATTATCCTCGGGGGGGTCTGGACACTAAATGTTTGATAAGGCTCTAAAGTGGATGAACGGTTTGTCTTTTCATATTTTACGGATTTACACTGAAGACTCCAATTAAAATCTAAGGTATCCATGGAGAAATAATAATTACTTTGGGTTCCTCAGGTACACTTTAATCTACATGAAATCGCTAATCTTATCTGAGTTACTTTTTCATCTCTAATATTATTTTTATTTTATTTATTTTCTTCTGTATTTTTTGCTATTTATTAATTAATATTATTTTTCATATGATTTTTTGTAATTTATTCATTTGTAAGTATATTATCATTTGAATTATTAATATTAATCATGATTATTTCCTTTTTGATTTAATTATTATTTTAACGTGATTTTTCTATCATTTTTGCTATGACTTGTCTTATTCCGTGTCATGTAAAGAATTGACAGGAAAATAACAAGCACACCTCTGTATTTAGTTTTTTGCAATGAAGGCATTATGTTGTTGACAACAAGGAAAATATCTTAGAATCCATACGATAGTGTACAAGACAATCTCGAAGAAAATAAAGAAAGCTCTCTCGATGTGTTTGGTGCAGTCTGCAGCAGAACGAGTGTGAGTGTTGGCTCAGCAAAGTCCTGAGAGATGAGAGTGAGTGGAGATGAGTCACGCAGCGATCTGATCATCCTTCCTCCACTTCCCCTCCATCAGAGCCAAAGTTCGTCACAACCATTCAATCTTTGTTCTGCTGCACCACATTCAGTTAAAAACAGAGCAGAAATAGAGCGAAACAGCTGCAAGACTTCATGACATGTTGTTTTTATTATCAAAATATGTGGATAGGATGTATACAAATATCATTACCAAAGATAAATAATACTATGTATCATTGGTACTGCATATAAAAGGGTTTTGCATGGCAACTGTAGAGACACAATGTGTGTGTTGAAGAGTTCTTCTGAAGCCTGTTCATTGCTGCCAGGGTCATAAAATGTTGCACATCCTGGTGCTTTCTGGGAACTGTAGTCTGGTGGGCAGAGAGTCTTCTGGCAGCTTTGGGATCCCATCGAGGATCTCAAGCTTTGGCAAACAGAGGAAAACACTGCAAAGAGACAAGAAGCAGAATGAAGATCCGGACCACGGTGACATCACTATTTAAAACTCCCGCTTCTATTGGCTAGAGTTACAACACGTGATAGGCTAAGGGGCGGGACATCTCTAAGTGGTTGACAAATCACAACAGAGCTCGCCAGCTAACCAATCGGAGCAGACTAGGCTCTGGTTTCAGACGGAGGGTGAAAAGAGGCGCTGCAGCACAGGCAGTGTGAGAAAAATAAAGAGATTTTTGAACATTAAAGCATGGAGACATGTCACAGTCAACATGAAACCAAATATGAATGAACATCACAGCCCCTTTAAATTACAACATTTTTCAGCTACAATCAGCCATTGTCTAAGAAATTAAAATCCTCTTACTCTCTGCTATAACGCCAGATAAAAGGCCATCATTTCCAAGAAACCTCTCCCAATGTTTCCTCGTCACCACATCTTTTTATCGCTTGCTATCCGGATTGCATCGATGAATCTCTTCGAAGGTCTTTGAAGACAAAGCCTTCTCTTTAACAACCTTTTACACCATCTCTAACTTTACTGCCCCTGCCCCCTCGTTTTGATCCACCTTCTTCATACGTGTCCGCTCACCGTGCACGGTAGTCCTGAGTGAAGGTCACGGGGTTGCGGCTCAGGTTGAGGGAGCGCAGCGGGCTGACCCCCAGAGCCCCCAGACCCCCCAGGGAGCTGATGGCGTTCTCAGACAGAGAGAGGTGCTCCACGGCGGGGAGCTTTGGCAGCTGACGCAGACACAGCAGGTGGTTACGCTGCAGGTTGAGCATTCTGCACCTGCAAGGAGGAAGCACAATGCAGTTATGGTATTACATTGCTTTATGAACAGACAGGCAGGTAAAAGTGGTTTAAAGGTCAAAGGTGGGTTCGGGTAACAGTCAAACAGGGAAAATGTGTTGTCTGCAAAATGGATGAAAGAGAAGGATGAAAGGAATATAANTCGTTTCTTGTAGCCCTCGAAAGGGTTTTGGAGGATGATGCCTCGGTGAGCTTGAGTCGTTTGGCTTTCTTGTCCGCAGCAGCAGAAAGCATTTTCGAAATTCGAAAATGCTTTCTGCTGCTGCGGACAAGAAAGCCAAACGACTCAAGCTCACCGAGGCATCATCCTCCAAAACCCTTTCGAGGGCTACAAGAAACGAAGTGAGTAGCCTACAAGATTGAAGCTGGTCAGATAACGAACGAGTAAATGAAAACAGAATGAGGCGGAGAAGTGTGTGTGTGTGTGTGTGTGTGTCTGTGTGTGTGTGTGTGTGTGTGTGTGAGATTAAAATAGCCCAATTGCTTTTACAATAAATAAACATTGACTGTGTTTAATTGAATAGTAAAAGGGGTTAAACGTTAGTGGCAGGTTGTGTGTGAGAGAGAAATAAGACAGCTCAATATTTAAAAAAATTGTTATCTTTCCCCGCATATTTAGCATATTTCGCAACTTTCCGCATATTTCGCAACTTCCCGCAATTTCAACGCATAAAATCACATAAAAACCCCGCATATTTAATCGCATAATCAAGGATTTTAGCGCGCATAATCAAGGAATTTAGCCCGCATAATCAAGGATTTTTGCCCGCGTTTTTCTGGAGGGTCTACTTAAAGTTATGCATATATTAGGGTGTTGTCACATTGAGTGACGGCTCTGTCAAGTGACTTCTGCTGCTAGCTTCTTGTCTCTCTGCTAGCTGCTCCGTGAAGCTAGCTACAGGGACTCTGCCTGTTCAGTTCATCCAGGGAACACAACCTGAAGCCGGCCGTGGTTGTTTGTTCTTCATGCTTATATATCGGACTATTGTGACTCGCTCTGCGGTTGAAACAGACAAAACAGGTTTTGCGGTAAGTGAAATTCGAGTACTTTTATGTGTTAATGATTTTAATCAGCTACGTAATTAATGTTAAGGCTTGGGTTAGTGTGTAAGCGAGTGGTAGCTACATCGGTGCTAACGATGCTACTAGTAGCCTCCAAGTTAAAATCATAGACTGTATAAAGGTTAAAAAGAAATAGACAAGTGTTAAGCTTTAAGTGGGATAATACTGTTGAACAAACGGCTTCTGTTTGAGGTTGATAAAAGAAGGTCATCCTTGTAACTTAGAGAGATATTTTATCATGTAGGTAGGAACTGTATGCATCGCTAAGGTTAATTTAAATTGGCTATGCTCAAGTATGGAGACAAGCTAACGTTCAAGTAGTGTATGTGAAATCAACCTCACAATAAGATGCGTGTATATTACAAATAATAATGTCATATTTCAAGATGATTAGTTAGATATTACAATATGGTTGGTTGAGCTGGAGTTCATTATTGAGCTTCCATGTTAACGTCACAGTCATCTGAAGAACAAACCCAAATATTGCGGCAGTAATCTTAAACAAAGTGCCGCNTTCTTACTTCATGTTCTCTGTGCGAAACTGTACGTCAGACTGGCCCCACCAGGTAAGGCCTGTTTGTGTCAGCGCCACAAATGTTTTCTTGCCTCCAGCCTTTGAGTGGCTTCCTTCGTCTCCGTTCCAAATAGATTGCATGCATTGGAGATGTGTTTACTTGCCGCATGAGACCTTTCCAGAGCGTCTTAGCCACATTTCATTTTAGCATTTGATGCGGCTTTTCCCTTCCATTTCTAATGCTCCCTCTTTTCTTTGGCTGCTCCTCTTTTTCCTGAGCTCTTCCTCTTGTTCAATCCAATGCATGCTTGTCTGCGCGGCGCATCCATGGTTAATACACTTTTTCGTGCCATGAGAGCCGGCCATGTCAGCCTCAGCTTTGATGCATGATGATGTAGTTGAGACACTGGACCTGGTTCCAGCAGAGCTCACTGCAAGACAATGCTTCTATGTTTGAAACACTGTGCTTGGTTTTATTTTCCTCTTGTGCTCAGATAGTTTCAACATTTTCCCAGATTGTTTGAACATGAGACCATACTTGTTGGTGTTCATTCGATATCTCAATGACGGGACCAATACATTTTGTTTTTCCTGTTCGTCTGGCAGGAAAGAGAGGAATTACAGACTTGTGTAACAGGCGGGGCTGTTGTCTCTTTAACAAGGTGAATCAACATGTTCAGTTGGCGTGTTTATTTGTGAGGTTGTTCATCCTTTGCCATGGATCCTTCATGTTTTAATCACACTTTTCATTTGTGAACCTTGATTGAACGTTCCTTTGGAGCTTTCCCATTTTATTTGCCAAAGCCTGGCGTGAGTATAACCTCTCTTTTGTTCATCCATTTTTGCCACATTGACATCTGAGTGCATCCACTTATTACATCCCTTTAATGGTGTTTATATGAATGTACCAAAAAAGCCTCAATTTCCACCAGCAACGCCAATTAATCACAGCTGCCGACAATAAAACCTCTAGCGCACAACCGAACACACGCAAGCCAATAGTCCCAATGGACACGCAGCAGTAATTATTCACACTGTTTCTACAAACATTTACACAGCATGATGAAGAGTACATAGCGCTCTTCTCCCTGAGTGTGTGGATTGTCCGTCAGTCTTTACCTCCCGGCAGTACGCTGAAGTTTCCTTAAGCCGCTCTCCAATACAGCGGCGAACACGGCGTTTCAATGTTTGCTTTTAATTCCACAGCGTCACAGATCAATCCTAGGAATCTCCGTATATATCCTTGATTTCCGTAGATCCACGCTGTGGTACAAGTCTGTTTGTTGACTTAATATTGTGGCAGTAATCTTAAGCAAAGTGCCGCGAGGGACTAAACAAGAGAATAAAAACTGTGGACGAGCAAAAACTCAGTCTTTCCAAAAGTATGCGTTTGACCTTTTATTTCCAAAGCAAAAATGCAATATTCCATATCCATAAGCGTATATCCTTGTATTCGTGCGTGCGGTCAACAAAAATTGTCCTTCTCTAGCTCACTCCCCCATCTATTACCAAGTGCGCAGGTAAAAGCAACCGGATATAAGCACAAACGTCACCACACAAATCCAATGACACGCCCACCACCTATAGTGACTAAAAAACATGTATCGTACCAAACACAGAAATGGCTTCATATGTGGCTCCTACAACGTCCTCTTCATCAACCAGAACATGCTTCCTCTCACACTTTGTATGAATAAGCTTCACTGGTCAGTCTGACAACTGTATACAGTGAGGAGGATGATACGCTCACGTAGATGAAAGTACAAAACTCACCAGCAGCAACATTCAGGGTCAGCTCGGCCCAGCTACTCGGGGAAATTAGCTTAACATCATCAGTGTTTTTCTTGAAGCATAAAGTGCGGCCTCACGAAAACGTTGAAGCGCTCAGAAAAAGATGCCGGGTGCAGCACTTTGTCCTCAAGGTGGTTGCACCCTCATCGGAAACAATTTCAAAAGAACGCTTGCGCTCAGAAAAGGCATGTGTGAATACAGGCCCTAATTGAACTCGTGCCTTTATCGGGCACACCCCTGACTGAAAAAGGCTCTAGTACAGTATGCATCAATGGACTGCTCAGTATCCTATCAAATTGGAATCTGTGTTTCTCTAAGGCAGGGGTTCCCAACCTTTATTGTGCCAAGGACCGGCAGACACATACAAAAAAATTGCGGACCGGTTGTCAATTTTAACTGATTTTAATATTTACTCACCAGCAGGTAGCAACAGAGACTAATTGTATGTAACAGCCTGAACAAATACTAGAACAATATGCATCCAAAACATATTAACAATGTTTAAAAAAAAAAGAGAGAACCGGTGCTTTTGGGAAAAACGGAAAACCAAAAAAACGAAGTTATTCAGTTTTTAAACCAAAACGGGAAAACAGATAAATCAACGTTTTGGTTTTGTTTGTATGATTTACGGATAGAATGCTAGGAAAACGAGTCGAAGGCGCATTATGAAGGAGATGTCCGGTCGCCAGGGTGTGTGCGTGTGTGTGTGTGTGTGTGTGTGTGTGTGTGTGTGTGTGTGTGTGTGTGTGTGTGTGTGTGTGTGTGTGTGTGTGTGTGTGTGTGTGTGTGTGTTGTGTGTGTGTGTGTGTGTGTGTGTGTGTGTTTGTGTGTGTGTGTGTGTGTGTGGTGTGTTGTGTGTGTGTGTGTGTGTGTGTGTGTGTGTGTGTGTGTGCGTGGGGTTTGGGACCGCTACGGTTGTTAAGGTTGGGGGTGTGTGTGTGACACTGGCATTTGTTTCAGGAAGTATTATGATAGTTTGTCTGATTCGTTCCGTCACATCATGCGCCTTGGTGACCGGACATCTCCTTCATAAACGACGCTACATGTGTAGGGGGGATAATCGGGCAGGTTCGATATGTGTAGAGGTTGTGGGGTTAGGAGTGTGTGTTTGGTTAACACGAAGGCAGCTTGCAGTCACTCTTAAGCTGTTCTGTATGAAGGTACAACACAGTGAAGGTGGTGCTAAAAAGTGCCCCACAGCTCTCGGCGCTGCTGGCGCTGCCACTTCAACGTCCGTTGCCTCCTGATGCTTGCATTTCATGAGTGAAAGAGGTTTCCTTCTATAAAAACAGCTGTGTGCAGCAGATACTGTTGAGAGTCCCGGACATGATCAAGGCAGACTGGTTCACAGACTCTCCTGTTTTGCCAACCGGTGCTTTTAACAAATTAGCTCTACACCCCTGGCCAGAAGAGGCTGAGACCTTATGCTGGCGCGAATCCCTCGGAACATCATAAAAAACATTTTCAACTGTTTTCTGTTTGAAAGTTTAACTAGGCTACTGGATTAAATAATATGACTAGTATAGTGCGAAAATAAACGCTTTTTTGGAAAAAAACATGATGAAAAATATTTGATATATATTTATAAT